AAGGAGGATCATCTCACTCTAATGATGCTAAGCGACCAAGTTGTGTTATTTCCTTTTTCTTAAGCAATATTGGAGACCAGTTCAGAAGTTTTCTATTTAGTTCAAATCTCCTTTTACTTTAACTTAGTTTATATGGTGCAAGCTCAGTCATTAAATAAATATAAGATGCTAAATGTTAAATTCATAAGAATATTTTGGCCAACCCTCCATATACTAAAAGATTATTTGAACTTTTATTTCTGTGCAAACAAAATCATGACAAAGAACCTCATGCATATTTTCAAAATAATATATATTATCCATATTTATATTGTTTCTAACCATTTCCAGCTTAAGACCACCATAATTTTGAGTAATAGCAGGAAAATCTAGATGCCAAACTTAATAACATCAACCAACTTGTGCAAAATATCAGCTAAAACATATATCAGCTAAAATATCAATTCATATTGTTTCTTATTCGTTGAAAGTATAGTCAACGAATAAAGATACATTCTAGAAGCAGAAAACAATAGCCACAAATTTGATAACCAATCAACCAAAAAAAACAGGGATACAGGGATACGTGTAGAAATTAACTCCACTATCCGAGTTTGAGGGATACAGGGATAAAAAGCAGAGTAAGATCTTCAAAGTTTTCATAATTTTCGAACTTTACTCAAGCTTAACCGAGCCTCAGCAAGTTTGACCAATTGTGAGTTTATATGTACCCTCTTATCCAAGATATCATGCAACAAACCAAGAGATTTAAATGATTTTTCTCACTTGGCAAAAACAGATTGGTATTCTTTATCTTCATTTCCTTCCCTGGATTTTCCCCCACCAATAAAGTCCATTCCATTACATTAGAATATGATGAAGCAGAAAATTCTTGGGTACACATGGTGCCTGCTAGGTTTCCCCATGTAGTTTTCATCAAATTATCTACCTAGTTCAGTGCAAAGTAGAGTGGTGCACCATGTGTTCACAAGTATTAAGAAGTTTCACACCGTCACTTTCTCTTATCTCTTGAATTTATTAAGAAGTTGCATAAATCAGTATGTGTAGCAAGTTTGTTTTATATTGTAATGTACCATTTCTTCTTCTTCTTCTAAGACTTGATTCCAGTCTTTCCCCAGATTGATTGAATCTCTAATAGAACTCAATGTGATCAGCAGGGTTTGATTAGGACCCCACTAAATGCCATTTTCATTGTCAGAAATCTAAAGGCACGGTTTGAGTATCAAAACATTGCGTACGGTCTTTAAAATCTTACTTTCAGATAAAACAAAGTGATACGTCCCCAGGAGGAGCAAAGCTTGGGTACTACCGCCGTACCATACATCACTTTTAAAAAAACAAAATTTTTGGATTTGAAAAGAATTATGAGAAAAGACTTGGATTCAAGTGGTATTAAAAATTTCCAATTTAGGAAAATGCTGTACCTACAGCAGTAGTATAGAAGAAAATTCCCCCCACGAGATGCTGCCTGGCTTAGCAGCTACTCTAATAAGCTATTGATTTCGTATACCAAATTTTTTAGATGTGCTAATTTATGATTTGTTATTCAAATCATAAATTAATTGTATCTTTCAAAAATTAATCATCATAAGTTATTCAATAGGGAAAATATAAATATCATTTAACAACTTAATAAATTACATATAAGTTCTTTCACCAAAAAAAAAAAAATTTACATATAAGTTCACTGACAAAGGCATAATATCTAGCTAATGAGTGATTCGCAACGTGTCTACACCACACAAACATGTGTATGCATGTGAATAGTGATTTTCAAATAACAATTACATGTCTTTGGCATAACATGATAGTGTGAGTTACAAGAAGGAAGCAACAAAATATACAACCAATGTCACAATTAAAACAAACCACGTGATGACAGTGAATGTATTGAGATTTTCTTCTCCAATTTCCCTTTCTCCAAACACTCTACACAGTGCCAGAACGTATTTCCGGAGAGTACTCCATAGCTGATGAACATAATCCACCCACCTTAATATTAACACACAAGTATCCACAAAGTATGGAAAATGAAAGAACAGGAAGAACAACTTGAAAGTATTAGATTACTAATGAAGGAAAATCAAGACCCACCCACATGATAAATAAAGCAGTAATAGACAGTAATTAACAACATACTAACGTGTATAAACCAAGTTAAAGCCCCCAAATGGTTATTCCTTTTCCTTTTCCTTTTCTTCTTTGCCGCTTCTGTGTTCAGCCTCTAACAGCAAGCAAGGAAGGTATAGCAGATAAGTTTGGCGTGGCATTCTTATCATTTGCATCTCTAATAATATCCCTCTTATTGTCTTTAGAAGAGGGTTTGCTGCTAAAAGCTCTCATAGGACTAGCAAATGTCCAACCCCAACTCCTAACCCTGTTATGAGAGAGTGCCACAGCCGTTGATTTCCTATTCATTGTATAAATATCATCCCCATTTCGTATTGTTATATTATTATTTAAGTTTTGAAAGATACAATTAATTTATGATTTGTTAATTGTGATTATTTGTTTTTTAATTCGTTGCCAACGCTTTAGCACTTAATTCCAAGGCGGTTAACATGTAACCATCGTGAAATAACCGTCGCCAAATACACATTTTCTTGTAGTGATAATGTGATAGAAAAGATAAGCACTTACTTGGACGCTTGGATGCAACATGGATGGTCGGGTATGAGTTTTTCTGAAGCAGGGAGAATCACTTTGTCTCAAGCAGTGCCACGCAAATTGTTCCGATCATAGAGCTTCAGAAGAAAGTCTCAGATTATGTAAATAATGATGGCAATTGGGATATAGAAACTATGAAACAGTGGCTCCCAGAATCTATTCTCTTAAACATTTAGAGCTTCCTCCCTCCAACCTATCATTCAGCAAGATAATGAATGGAAGACGTGGAGATGGAGGGGACACAATGGGTGAAAATTTTCATGTGGAAGCTTCTGCATCATAGTCTCCTAACTAGAAGTTTAACCGCGAGGTGGGGAGAAGTGAAACCTATGTGCCCTGTTTGCCTGGATTCTAATGAGACAATCATACATGCATTACGAGCTTGTGTATATGCAAGAACCCTGTAGGATGATCTGCTACCCGAAACTATGGTGGATGATTTCTTTAGAGATGATCTTAGCAGTTGGCTAACCAGAAATGTATCAAAGGACCATCGTCAACTGGGAAGGATTCCTTGGTTGACTATTTTCTTCTTTACATGTTATAAAATTTAGAGTTGGCGTAATGCGTTTGCTCATGGGCAAGTTATTCATGCTAAGACAAAAAATGCCACATTTATTCGTTCGATTGTGTACCAGGTAAACGAAGCATATAAAATTATGTGTGGGATCGCTCCTAGGAGTAGTTTTACAGAGGTACTTATTTCTTGGGATCCACCGGAAGAGAATTGGGTAAAAATAAATGCGGACGGAGCAACTAGAGGGAACCCGGGTCATGTTGCGTATGGTGGTCTAATGAGAAATCATGCAGGTCAACGGATGAGAGGTTTCTCATGTAAGATTGGTTATTGTTCTGCTGCTCTGGTGGTTGAGTTATGGGAATTCTAAAAGGATCAGAACTAGCTGGAAACTAGGGTGGAGGAGAATAATTGTTGAAAGCTACTCAAGTAATACAATAACCATGTTCACCAAAGCTGGTGATACTACTCGCGAGTCTCGTTTAGTGACTCAAATACGAGCATGAGTCATCAAGTAGCATAGAGGGTTCGTTGCTAACACGTTTACAAGGAAGCTAATGAGTGTGCTGACTAATTGGCAAACTTGCCTTGGAAGTCAACTTCAAGATTCCCTTACTTGTTTTTCTGCTCCGCCTATCTGAAATTTCATATTATGGCAGATGTACCGTTTGTAGGGACTATCCGTAGTAGGATTGATTTTTGACTTTGTTTCTTCGTCGTTGTCGGGGCCTAGCCTTTTTTGTTCACCAAAAAAAAGGAAAAAAAAAAAAAGCACTAATTTCTATTTATATCAATTACTACCCCGACATAAAGAATTATATGGATTATACCCTTAGCTGAGGTAAAGATCAGGCTAGAAGATATTATTTCAAGAGGTAGCAAGTTAATATCAATGGTAGACAAATAATAAGAGTATAACTTGGAAGTAAATTGACATAACAACAGTACATAAAAGATATCTTCTGGTGTACCCCATGAGGGCTATTTATAAGGAAGATGATGCGGGTTGGTGAGGTGGGGGTCAACTCTTCTTGAGATGCACACCCATGATGGCAGTGTTAGGCGTGGTTGGCGCTGCCACAATGGTAGTGCTGCAACCACTGCACCCGGCGATGTCAGCACTGAACAAAGGGGCAGATTCCTTTGCAGTGCTTATGGCGACTGCCTTTAGCGGTTAATGTCCCGAAGTAGGACATTTTGGTGTATCTCTTGGACGTGCTGCAGTCTTGGAGATCGTGAGGGTCTACATCAACCCTAAGGGCTGACGCGGAACAAGGCTGAGGGTTGGGCCTGAGCAGTTGGGCCACTCCAGTACTTGGGTCATCCGGAACAACTAGATATAAGGAAATAAATAAATTATTCTTAAAACATAATTTAGAATAATTAATTACAATCATTTTAAAATATAATTTTAATATTATACAATATCATTAAGATATTTTAATGCTTTATTTTCTTTTGACTCAATTCAATTCCACAATTACAAAATATCGTATAATTACATCCCAATTTAGAGCTTAATCCCACAAATTTTGTATCAAAGTTTTATACATATTTTTAAGTATAGCAAGATGTAGTTTAGGCAGACGACATTTCTCTTGTTTTATTACTTGCACCTTCTTCAATGGGGTTGGCTAAAACACAAAACTAAAAAACAAAAACAAAAAAACACAAAACGACGACGCCCACTGTTTCTTTGGTGCCAATCTTTTCTGTTTCCTTTTCCTTAGTTTTACTTTTACCCTTTCCCTTTCTTCCAAACATGTCATCGGAATATATTCTTTCCTTTTTTATTTCTCTTTTTTCTTTTTATTTAAACCATTTTTCTCCATTTACCCCTTAGGTGGCTGGTTTCTGTGCTCTGCACACATTTTCTCTCTCCTCTTTCTTTCTCTCTCTACAAATCAATCTTCTTTCTTCTTTTTTCTGCTCACTATAGCATAGCTATGGCTTTCAGATTGGGAGTGGGAGGGGTAAGCTTCCTTTTCTTCATGCTGCTCACTATAGCATACCTATTTTCCTTCGACTGTTTTTTTTTTTTTTCTGTTCTTTTCATATTCCTTAATTTCACTGTGCTGTGTCAGCTTGATTTCGTCGAATGTTATTTTTATTTTCTTGCTCCGTGTGTCGGGTTTTTGACGGGTTCCATGACTGATTTGATGTTCTTCCCACTGTCGGATTTTTGCTTCGCAGAGGATGTTTTTCCCAAGTTTTTTATTTTTAAATTTTATTTTTTTGAAATAATTTTTTCTCTGTGCAACTTAATTTTGTTTTTATCCTTTTTCATATTGTCTTTGTTTTGGGTCCTTGATGTTAGTATTTTGATGCTTCTCGTTGATGGATGGGACCTTGCCTATGTAATGTTTTCTGTGCTATGAATAAAGGTTGGAAATTAAAATGAGAAGATCCTTCCTTTGGTTTAAATTAGAATGGATTTATGATACTGATGATCTTGTAAAAAGGTTAAGAAACCAGACTAGGTCATATGTTATCACATGAAAGCTTGTTGGGAACTTTGTTCCTTCCTCATGCATGAAGTTGCTTTGAGTTGTAAATAGCTTTAGGGATGCCTATCTTCCCACTTAGTCTATTGTAAATAGCTTTAGGGACACTGGATGCTAGACATGTAGGCACATGTTGTCAGATTTTACAAATTTTTTACACACATACAGCATGTCATGTGTATCTTGTGCCCTGAAGTAAGAGAATTCACATGCCCATGCCTACACATGTGCCCTGAAGTAAGAGAATTCACATGCCCATGCCCCAGGAGTTTATAATAGTATCTCCTATTGTATTGTTGAAGTAGTGTGTTTTCATACCCCAAAAAGAAGTAGCATACTTTTCTTCTGTTGGTAGGATTCATTTCACTGGAAGGACATCATCATCATCATTATTTTTTTTGGTAATTTTGTTATATTAGTAAATTTGAAAAGGATTGGAACTAATTAATATGTGGCTTCAATGTAGGGAAATACCTCTTCTGGCATGGGTGTTGCTGAGCATAGCATAAACACATTCCTGGAATTGCAGAGGAAGAAAGTACATCGCTATGTTGTTTTTAAAATCGATGAGAAAAAGAAAGAGGTTGTGGTTGAAAAAACTGGAGGACGTGCTGAGAGCTATGATGATTTCACTGCATCCTTGCCAGAAAATGATTGCCGATATGCTGTCTATGACTTTGATTTTGTGACATCTGAAAACTGCCAAAAAAGCAAAATCTTTTTTATTGCATGGTTAGTTGCTTAGTTTCTTGTATAATCATAGAAGTTGCATATTAACTCATTCAGTTTTCTTATATTTATTTCATTATGCACTGATTTAAATATATGTATATAGCCTTTTACTGTTACAGTACACATCTTGTGCTTGAATCTTAAAATACAGATATGTTATTATGGACTAAGACAAAATCTGAGAGGGCATCATAATCGCCTTGGTCATCTAAAGAGGTGTCTGGGTAAAGTTGAAACTGGTTGACAAAATGTTAATTCTAGACGATGATCCAATTCTCTAGTATATCATTATCATCTAGATATGATTCCTATTGTTTTCTATCATAGCATTTTGATATTCTATTCTTCATAATGCCTATTCTTAATCTTCTTGTGAAGGTCTATCTTAGATGCATAAGAGACTAAAATCCCTGTGTTTTGAAAAATTCTTAAATCCGAATTGTTGCATGCATTTCAGAACCTGTCTTTTTCTTTTTTCTTCTCGCTCTCTCTCTCTCTCTCTCTCTCTCTCTCTCTCTCTCTCTCTCTCTTTTAAATAAAACTTAAAAGACTTATGTTCTTTTCCATTTTATCAGAAAAAAAAATTGCTCAACATTTTGTTGCCAAGAATTTAGCTGCTCCATTGATGGTCTCATTCTAGTTCTTAGCGTGTTTCATTCTTTGCATGTCTAACATTAGATCATGTATTAATTACCTAGATCTTTGTCAATCACAGATTTTTCTAGAAAAGTATACAGAAAATAGTGCAAAGATTTGAATAACTGAACTCTTCTCTCTAGACTCCAGTTATTGGTTTTACTAAATCTGAGATGAATCTCTTTTCTTGAAGTCAAAGGATGGAATCCAGATCTTGGTAAAGCGATTAAATTCTCTTTGCTTAAGATTTGGAAAAAAGAATAAACTTAGTATAATGGGAATGCTTTAAGACTTTGGTTAGAATTAGAGGTTGGTTGATTTGATAGTTTATTTTTAAAGGTAGAAGGACTTCTAATCTTTTGTTTTGATATCTCAGTTATATTTGAAAAGATGATATTCTTTGTTTAATCTATTTATATGGACGTTTAAAGCAGCTTATGGAATTTATGGAATTTGCAAGTTTTGTGAGATAGAAGAAAACCTATTGCCAGGGTATATACCAAGTTTCATTTTCGAATTGAGTCAGGGTAAGTTGTAATGGAATTGTTTATATATGATCAGGCAAAATTTAACTTAAATTACTAATACCTTGTTCAACTGGGGACCACATGTTAGACTATAAGTATGTTTCCAATAATCACTTTAAAGTCCGGACATAATAAGAATTTGGGGTTTTTGACAAAATGTATTGCTAATATGATCATGCACATCCATAGCTATTAAAGAAATTTTTTATTTGATGCTTCCTTGCAATAGTTGACTTAATCTTCAATTATAGACAACCTTGTTTTGGCTGGATATCAATCTTGAGCCATTAAATAAATTGAAAACAGAAATTTCTACTCTATTAGACTTACCCACTGGTATGTTCCTCTGTCAGCTTTGAGACCCCCTTTTCTTGCTTGTAGTTTTATTTTTTTCTTCCTATTTCCAGTACTTGATTATGTTTGGCCATCTTCACCAAATTCATATGATGGTTTTCTTTTGCCTTTCACTTCATGTGAACTATCTTGTCACGTGTCTGCATATGGTTTATCGTAAATCATATTCTCAACCATTTCTTCATTTTGCTGTTGATTACTTTTTAGGTGTTGTGATTATTTTATACATTGGGCATGGTCACAAGATAGAAAGTCTTGAAATAATTGTTGGGCCAGTATCAAAGTCTGATCAACTGTTATTTTCTACTTGCCTATGAGGAGCTTATCTATTTTGATAGTTGCAGAGAAAATTCACCTTTTAGTTACTACTTACTGCTCTTGCACTAAACCAGGGGAAGTTTGGCTGTTATATAAATTGGCACATTTCTTGTTGACTTTATTTTGCTTTTGAGTTTATAAATTGATTATTTTACAGGTCGTCTTCTGCAGCCCGCATTCGCTCTAAGATGCTTTATGCAACATCGAAGGACAGATTCAGAAGGGAGCTGCAGGGCATCCACTATGAGATTCAGGCAACAGACCCAACAGAGATGGATCTTGAAGTCATCAGAGACCGTGCAAACTGAGCACCTACACAAGCTTAAAGGGTTGTGTATCGGTGATTTAGTTTAGGATATCTGAGGCCTCCAGGAATGGTGTTGACTGATATCCTTAAGTTTTACTATGGTCTTTGTCTGTTCTGACACATTTCACATAAATAGCTTACTTATCTAGTAAATAACCTACACCTGTGAAGGCTGATTAGGGGTTCATGCCTTAGAAACCCCGCCGCAGGGGAATTTGAGCTCTTCTTTACTGCCATGATGCTTCTCAGGTGCAGATTTATATGATTATTATATTGAAAATTGGACTTGTATTCTATGAAATTAAAATTCTCTCAATGGAGGCAATTGGTGATATTATCTAATATGTTGCCCGTCAATCCATGACAACAAGGAACTTAAGAGTGATGGAAAATATGCATTGCACTAGAAAAGTATTTCCATGTGTGTTTATTTTCACCCTCCCAAATTTTCCGGAGCAGAAATGTCATGTGGGGATGATTTCTTAGTAAGGATGGATGATCAAATGGTGGTCCATGCAGTTTGGCACCCATGATGTTATTGAGTAACTGTCTGTGGCTCCACCAGCGTTATTGCCTACTATCCCCCTTGATCTTACATTTTTATATTTCTTCTCTCAAAAGTGGGAGCATTCGTTGCCGAATGCCAATTAGTTTCATATATAACTATGATATATTAGTATAGTATTATTAGGGAGCATGGGTCCTGTGAATCATTATATAATTAATACTGAGAAATGTAGGTACGGTAGTAGTGAAGAACAGTCATGATAGGAGTACAATTGTCTCGAGGCATTCCCCTAAGGCCCTGACCCTGGGGGATGTTTGGTAGCCTGTATTTTACAGGATTTCTGGAAAATTAAATTTTTTTAAAATTTTAATTTTTAGATAGTATCGTAAACTGAATGTTTTCATTATATTTCTGAAAATTAAGATTCTCGGATAAAATATTTTTCCCCTAAGTGTCTTGATAGAATATAGAATTTCAAGTCTTAATGTTAGTCACGTGTAAGGTATCAGACCTTAATGACATAAACGAAATCTCACTCTTGGAGTGAAAACAAGAAATGAAAAGAAAGGTAAATTGAATAATTCTGAATGTATTGAAATTGTGAAGAAGAGGATTACAAGCTGCTATATATAGCAGATGAGAAAGACTGCAAAGAATAAAAGGAGAAGTTAACTAACAAATAACTGTCATAACTAACTTAATATAGCTTATCCTTTATCATCCCCCCTCAAACTCATGGGCAGTGGAATGACCTTGAGTTTGTACCGAAATTTAGAATAAGCAGCAGCAGAAATCAGTTTTGTAAGGATGTCAGCTATTTGTTCGGAACCTGGAATATGCTGAACAAAAACCTGTTTTTGAAGAACACGATCTCGGACAAAATACAGATCCAATTCAAAATGCTTGGTTCGATTATGAAGGATTGGATTGGCTGACAACATCACAGCACTAGAGTTGTCACAGAATACAGTAGGTAAAGTGCTGCAGGGTATGTGTAATTCCAGAAGAAGTGACTGAAGCCAAGCAATTTCAGCCAAAGATGAAGCTAAACTACGAAATTCTGCCTCTGTGCTGGATCTGGAGACTGCATGTTGTTTCTTGCTTGACCAGGAAATGAGATTGGATCCAAGAAACACACAAAAACCACTAGTTGACTTGCGATCATCAATGTCAGACCCCCAGTCTGAATCACAAAAAGCTATTAACCGAAAATCCTTGGACTTGTGGAAAACAAGACCATGAGTAAGAGTGCCAGCAAGATATCTTAAGATTCGTTTGACTGCCTTCCAATGAACTTCAAGAGGATTGTGCATAAATTGACTAACTTTGTTGACAGCAAAGGAAAGATCTGGTCTTGTTATGGTTGCATATTGAAGTCCTCCAACAATGAATCTGTATAAGGTGGGATCAGAGAAAGCAGTGTCACCTGTTGCAGACAGTTTCTGATTTGATATCATAGGAGTTGGCATAGGTTTAGCGGAAGTCATGTGAGCTTTGGTGAGGAGATCAGAGATGTATTTGGTTTGAGTTAAATGGAGAGTAGTAGGTGAGGTGTGAACAGCTTCTAATCCAAGGAAATAGTGAAGGGCACCAAGATCTTTTAAAGAGAAAATGCTGTTGAGGTTGGATATAAGAGAGGCTATTTCAGTGGAGTTGTTACCAGTGATGAGAATATCATCAACATACACTAAAATGTAGGTGATTGAAGTAGATGTGAATCTGGTGAATAGGGAGGCATCAGATTTGGTGTTTGTGAAGCCAAATTTCTGCAAAGTCAGAGTGAGGGTATGAAACCAAGCTCGAGGAGCTTGTTTTAGACCATAGATAGCCTTGTTGAGTTTGCAAACATATGGAGAATCTGTGGCATGAAAACCATCAGGCTGGGACATATAAACAGTCTCATCTAGAACTCCACACAGGAAAGCATTATTGAAGTCAAATTGTCTGATGATCCATCCTCGAGTAAGGGCTATAGACAGAATCAAACGAATGGTTGTAGGTTTTACAACAGGGCTAAAAACTTCACCAAAATCGAAGCCCTCCTTTTGTTGGAAACCTTTGGCCACAAGTCTGGCCTTGTATCTTAGGATGCTGCCATCAGGTTTCCTTTTAATTCTGAAGATCCATTTGCAACCAATTGGTTGAATTCCAGGTGGAGGAGGTACCAAAGTCCAAGTATTATTGTTGATAAGAGCTCGAAATTCCTCTGTCATGGCCTGCTTCCAGTGAGGACAATTGATGGCTTGAGATATGTTTGCAGGTTCAGTGTCATGAAGATTAGAGAGATGCTGGTGAGCAGATGCATGGTAAGTTTTGGGTTTGTAGATGCCAGACTTGCTTCTGGTTTGCATGTGATGATTGGGTGGAGGATCAGAAGGAGGAGTGGAATTCTGATGTGGTGGTAGTGGTGCATCAGCAGAAAGTTGTGAAGTTGATGTCTGAGCTGAACCTGAAATTAGAGGACTAGAAGATGTATTAGTAGAATCTGTAGATGTAGAAGTGGAGTTGGTTGGATGAGTAGTAACAGTTTCTTGAGAAACTAGAGGTATTTGAGGAATTGTAATAGAAGTGGGTGCATGAGTTGACATGGAAACAGTAGGAAAAAGAGTAACATAAGAGAAATCATTTTCATCAAATAAAACATCTCGGGAAATGTAAATTTTTCCTGTAGGGGAGAGGCATTTGTAGCCTTTGTGGTTCATAGCATAGCCTAAGAATACACATTTATGGGATCTAAAATTAAGTTTGTTTTTGTTGTAAGGTCTAAGCAAAGGAAAACAAGTGCATCCAAATACCTTAAGAAAACTATAATCAGGTTTATTATGATACAGCAATTTAAAGGGTGACTTGTATTGAAGAACAGGAGTTGGTAATCTGTTTATAAGATATATGGCAGTGGAGAATGCCTCCTCCCAATAAGAAAGGGGTAATTTGGCATTTGCTAAAAGAGCCAAACCTACTTCTGTGATGTGTCTATGCTTTCTTTCAATTCTCCCATTCTGTTGATGAGAATATGGAACCGTCAGTCTATGTGTGATGCCATGAGTATGAAGAAACTGAACAAAGGAAGTGGAAGTAAACTCCTTAGCATTGTCAGTTTGTAGGTTCTTGATTTTTAAGCCAGTTAAGGTTTCAATCATTGCCTTATATTGTATAAACACAGAATATACTTGAGATTTATTTTGGATAAGATAAAGAGTACCAAATCTTGTATGAGCATCAAGAAATAAGACATAGTATCTACTTCCTGATAAACCAGCAAAGGGAGCTGGACCCCAAACATCAGTGAAAATTAAATCCAAGGGAGCAGCATAGTGAGTAGTAGACGAAAAATGAGGTAACTGATGTATTTTTCCAAGACTACAAGCTTCACACACAGATGGGTTAAGTTTGAGGTGATTAACAGAAACAAAAATATTACATTGTTGCAAGACAGATTTTACAATAGGAGAACTAGCATGGCCTAATCTTTTGTGCCACAAATCAAAAGAGACAGAAGAAGTGGCCAATGCCATAGGGGGTTTGGGATTATGGGACATTTTATTAATATGAACATCAGTGAATTGATAGAGGCCATCTTTAAGCTTGCCCTGGAGGACTATATCCTTGGTTACCTGACATTTAACAAGGCAATAATCAGGGTAAAATTCGAAGTATACCTTGTTATCCCTTGCAAACTGTGATACACTAATTAAATTTTTTGTAATGTGAGGAACATGGAGAAGATTATCAAGTCTGAAAGTAAAAGATGAATCATGTGAAGTAAAAGATGAAAAACCAGTATGAGTAATAGGCATACCTGCTCCATTACCAGCTAGAACATGATCTGAGCCACGATACTCAGATATAGAAGAGAGATTACCAATGTCATGTGTGAGGTGATGGGTGGTGCCAGAGTCTGGATACCAAGAATTGTCAAGAAGTGAAGCAGGTTCAGCCAAGTAAGTTGCAGGATTATGAAAAGAAGGAGGTGGAGGAAGAGGTGTGCGCATATGTTGAGTGGTTTGTGAGGAGGATGGAGTGGTGCTTTGAGAAGTATTCTGGTAAGAAGAGTCAAACCGATAGAAGCACCTCCATGGAGGGTGACCTGGTCTTCCACAAATGTGGCACTGTAAACGATTTGTGTTCCAAGATTGGGGTGGACCTCTACCACCTCTGAAAAATCGTCCACCTCTGCCTCTACGGCCTGCAAAGAAACGACCACCATTGTTGGATTGGGACGGAGGTCTTTGCATAAAGTGAGATTGAATAGGTGTGACATTATCAGGTTTCTTGAATCTTTCAAGCATGTTTTCTTGAGCAAGCAAAAAAGCTTCTAATTCAATGACTAGGCGGATTTCTGGACATTGCAGAAGTGATGAGGGGAGCATATTCTTCATTGAGGCCATCAAGAATTGCCTCTGAGTGTTCAGCTTCTGTGAGAGGAGAACCAGCTGCTCCTAACGAGTCTACCACTTTCTTGATCTGCAGAAGGTATTCGAATGCTGGGCAAGTCTTCTTGATAGATTTTAATTGATTCTTCAATTGCTTGATTTTGGCTTGAGTATGAGAAGCAAAATAGACTTGTAGTTTGGTCCAAATTTCATGAGCAAAGTGGCAACCTACCATACGATTTTTGAAAGACATATTCATGGAGGAAAGAAGCCAAGAAACTAGAAGATTGTCCTGTTGATGCCAATGGATGTAATCTGGTGTTTCAGTTCTAGGATCTTGATTTGCTTCTTCGGTATATTGAGGAGGAATCTTGTCATTGGTGAGATGATGTTGAAGATTGTGCCCATGGATGGAAGCAAGGGCAAGTTGTTGCCAAGGAAGAAAGGTATCTTCATCTAGCTTGTCACCAATCGGATTGGAGAAACTTTTCATGATGAGTTTGGTTGCTGTTGCTGTTGCTGATGCATTTGCATTGCTTGTTGATGATGCAGTAGATTTAGGAGACTCCATGGATCGTTGCCTGCTCTGATACCATGTAAGGTATCAGACCTTAATGACATAAACGAAATCTCACTCTTGGAGTGAAAACAAGAAATGAAAAGAAAGGTAAACTGAATAATTCTGAATGTATTGAAATTGTGAAGAAGATGATTACAAGCTGCTATATATAGCAGATGAGAAAGACTGGAAAGAATAAAAGGAGAAGCTAACTAACAAATAACTGTCATAACTAACTTAATATAGCTTATCCTTTATCATCACGCAAACCGATCTTAGTGGAGAAAATCAGTCTTGGTGTGAAGTTGTTAGGAATGCACTGTCTTTTATAGAATTTATATTTGATATCTGGATTGGTTACCCGTATAATTTAAATTTAATATTTATAATAGTAAGTTTTTTAATTTAATAATCGAATATTTAGTACATATTTTTATTTATAGTTTTAAGAAAAAATTGTGATCAAAATATTTAAAAAGCTTTTAGATAACAAAAAATTGAGTGCGAAGTAAACTAATATCAACATGGAAAAAATGTTTATCTTTTTAATTGACACAATTTATATTCTTTTACTTTCACAAAGAGGTGGGACCTACATCTTTATTTTTTTTTTTATTAAATCTCTTTCCTCCTTTATCTATCTCTTTCTTTCTCTTAAAACGACACAACTTTACATCCTTTAAAATGACACACATTTTTTCTTATGAACATACTTAGAATCTTATAAAATATAATACGAAAACTCATATTTGAAATTTATAATTATATGACTTAGTTTTGTATATTTGTTTGAAATAATATTTAGATACACCTTTAATTTTATATACATAAAAATCATTATATTTATTTGACATGTTAAGTGAATTTTTTTAAGGCACAGAAAACATCTATAATTGTTATTCTTTATTTTTTATAATATAATTTGTTTACTCAATGTTAATTATATTTTAATAACTTTCCCCCCTAAATTTTTATATGTTAAATTTAATTATATATATATATATATATATATATATATATATTTTTAATTGTTAGTTTTTTGCATCAAATTCAACTTAGAAAGACATTTGAATAAAGCAGATGTTCATCTTCATCAAGATTAACATTTCTTTTCGCTAATTCAAGGAAGAGATAGCTTCAAAGGATACTGAATAAAATAAGCAGATTATTTTTTTAAAATAAATAATACATATTAATTGTATCCATTCTGATGCCGAAAAAAAAAAAAAAAAAAACAAAAAAGTAAAATGGTTAAACAATTAGGTTTTATAAAATATAAAATATGAGCTTCTTCCATTAGAAGTCATAAAAGTAAAACACCATTTTAAATGGTATCAAATAACCTTAAAAGATTAGAAAACTTTAATGATAGCTAATTATAATTCAAAAGCATCAAACATTTTTTAAAAAATATGAAAATTCTTTTAAAATAAAGATAATTAAGTATAAACAATCAGGATTAAAAATCCTAAAAATAAAAAAATAGTTACAAATTAAATAGTTATGAAGTTATCTCTTACACATATAAAAATGTGTGAGATTCATATTATTTTTTTCCTCTTATCTTCACTTGATCTCACATGAACTTTATATATTTTTATGTATACATAGAAAATAAAATGAGAAATATCAAATCTCTTTCGTTAATATAAATTGCTACTCTTTTTTTTCTCATACAAAATTGTATGCTTATATATATAGCTTAAAATTGTGTTTCGGTGGCCTGTTCTGCCGCCAAACTTAGGTAGTGATAGGATTGTTACCTTGTACTTCACAATTGCTCGATTTTCATTCATTGGACGAATAACTGCTTAGATTAGACATGTTCAACTATTTGTTTTAATGAAGCTATTGCAATATTTTTTTTTCCTTATAAGTGCGCAAACATTTATTAGTCATTAATTTTTATCATGAATATTTAATAGTAATTGTCATAAAAATCAAATTATTTTAATCACGCGACAATGTATAACTGAGTAACTATTACATCAAAATTAAACCTACCACGAGTACATTTGTTAACTCATTAACGTAATCGCCACCCCCTAAAAAAAAAAAAAAAATCTAGTTACAGTGCCAACGTTGTTTTTGTTGTCAGTAAATAGCATCAACCAATGTCACAATCTATCTTACAAAGTTACAACGTATAATTGCCGTTCTTAGGTCAATAAAGGTTGTGGACTTTTGCAGGATATTTTTTTTGACGTAGTGGTAAAATTTCGTCCATATTCATGAAATTGAGGAAGGTGCTGGTAGCCCCCTAGTGATATATGTTCATTGTTCTTATCCTTTTTGTTTCCTTTCACAAAGGAAATTATGTGTTGTGTATCTGTCTTCCACTATCATTAGTGTACGTCTCTTCTCCCTCCCATGTGATCTACCCACGTGATCATCATACACTAATGAGATCCTCACAACTCTCCTCAACACACTTCCGTGATTCAATCACTTTTGCCTCCTTTTATGCCTCTATACACTGCATGCTATCTATGCCTTTAATTTAGGCTATGTTTTATTTTATTTTATTTTATTTTGTGCTTGCTTGACTTTGATGGGGTTGTGAATACTGAATGAATATCTTGCTTATGGGTATTTGATGGCTTCCTCCTCATATAGCACAAGTCTGAAGTGGATTTTTGAGGCTGGAATTGAAGAAATTGCCAGTTAGTCATCTCTTATATCTTCATGGGTTTATTTTATTATATAATTTGGTATATTCCAGCTTTAGCTGTTGGTGATAATGTTCTTTATCATTTATGATTAGTCACTTTTGTTTCTCAATTGGAATTTTCCATATTTTTATTTTATTTTTGACTGGTGGTGTTCAAATAGGTGAGTGAGACATGTGGGGAAGGGTTCTCCTCTGAGTTGGATTTAGGTTGGAATGGATACCTTACAGAAAGCAGATTGGAAGGCAAGTTGGACATCCTGATAAGCTACATGTTAGGTCTACTTCATCAGTGATTTGAGGCTCTTATCTTGTTCTGCTATAGATATCTTCTTTACATTTTTGACAAAATTCCAGATCCAACCTTTCTATCCATAATCTAGGCTATCAATCTTCATTCTTCAGATATTTTTCTCTTGGTAGGGATCTTGAATAGTAAAATCTTGGACTTTTGAGGTGAACTCTATGCTTTTTTGTTGGGTATAAGAAACTTGTGGAGAAGCTACTCAGAGCTATTATTTGAGGTATAAAGCTTTGGCTATGCCATGAAAAAACTAAGTATACTACAATATGGGTAGCAACAGGACCATTGTTTGGTTTAGAAGGGACCTTAGAATTGAGGACAATCCTGCATTAGCTGCTGCAGCCAGGGATGGTTCTGTATTCCCTGTGTATATATGGAGCCCTAAAGAGGAAGGACAGTTTTATCCAGGACGAGTGTCAAGATGGTGGCTGAAGCAGTCTCTTGTTCACTTGGATCAGTCTCTGAAATCTCTTGGAGCCGGACTAGTGCTGATCAAAACCCACAGTACTCTTACAACTCTTTTGGAGTGTATAAATGCTATTCAAGCAACAAAAGTTGTGTTTAACCATCTCTATGGTAAGTACTCTTGTCCAGAAGGTAGCTTGTATAGAATTGGCCTTCTATTTTATATGTTTTAGCCAATTGCTTCCTATTATATATATGGTGCCACTTAATGTTTTGGATCTCCAAAAGTTGAATAAGCGAATAGGCTTTTTCTATTAACAACTAGAGGAGGTTTGGACAGACCTTCAAGGTAGGATAGTCCTTGAAGACAATCCTCAACACTGAATTTGTATACTGAGAAGATTAACAGTTGTTTTGATCTTCTTGCTATTTGCTGGTTCTTCTATATATTTAAATTCTTGTATGTTGTATATAAAGTAAATTGGAGACCATAACTATCAAGGAATAGCAGGAAAGGTGAATGATACATGGCCGTTGTTATTGGGGCATTCTTCTTCTTCTTGTTTTTTTTTTTTTTTAACGTATAATAAATTAATTTTCAAATTGGCGAGTTTTATTCCCAAGCCATTGTGATTCCTGAGGCTAGTTTAATAAGGTGGAAAAGTTGCTTTGTGTACAACTATATTTAGTGACATTTGATCAGGGTAGACATAAAACTTATACAAGAGATGTTAAAGGCAAGAAAGAAGAGGAATACTAAATTAAGGAATATCTGATTGTAAAATCATGTTTATCTTCAATTATTGAAGTGTCAAAATCGAGTCATATGCATTTGCATGAGGTGGAGTAGAGATTTGAGTTGGTAAAAGTGGAATGCTATTACATGGTATTATGAGCATGGTTTAACAATCAAATTAAAGCCTAAGCTTGAAGTATACAGGAATATCCTCTGCTGTCATCTGGCGTTTTATATAGGGTATCATCTCTTAACTGCCACACTGCTTGTTTTTCCATAATAGACTTGGAGGAAAATGCGTTGTTTCTCCAAATGCCATAATAGTTCCTTACAATGCTTCAACTAACATATAAAATAGATTACCTGTGTGAACGTCTTGGTATGTTTACTGAGTGACAAAAACTTGAAAGGTTTACTAGTTGCAGGCATCATTCTAATCCTTACTATTTTTGTGCTGTGTTTTAATTTGATAATCTGATACTGCAAATGAAGAATGCCTGTTTGTCAAAGCTTGAGAATTCTAAAAAATAACGCATTGATTCTTTAAATGCCAGAACACTTCAAAAATCATTATATAGCAGATAACATGAAGTATTTGTGTGAACCTATATTTTTGTTTGTTGTAACACAAATGCATGTAAGATAAGCGTCACATATTATAAGCATTCTAGCACTACTACTTCTGTTCTGTTTGTCAAATTAAATGTTGAATATATAGTTTTTTGGTGGGAAGCTCTATTAAATTAACTGGCATTAACAGGATTACTCAGTAATGAACAGTAATTCCCAGATATATTTCTTCACAGTTCAATGGCAGTCAGCTGACCTATATTTCTAACCCTGATTGTTTAATCAGATCCAGTTTCGCTTGTCCGTGATCACAACATCAAAGAAAAACTAGTTGAACTTGGCATATCTGTACAAAGCTACAATGGGGATCTGTTGTATGAGCCATGGGAAGTATATGACGAGAGTGGACATGCTTTTACAACTTTTGATCCTTTTTGGAAGAAATGCTTGCACATGCAAATGAAAGCTGCTTCACTTATTCCTCCATGGCAATTAATTCCAGCTGAAGGTATCATATGACTATATGCAGGTTACCAATGATTTGATTGTCTCTAGATAATATGATTGTTGATATCAGGTTTTTGCTGGAGGTTAGGAAGGAATTCTAGTTCTAAGACAGTGCTATTTTGGAAACTGGCAGCAATTGATCAAGTTCTTCTGTTATTATATCAATCTATTGCAAATTGATTTATGTACACATGGACATAGAAAACAAGTTAAGGATTTCTCTTTTTTTTTTTTCTGTTTGTGGATGACAGGAAAAGTTGAGAAATGTTCAATTGAAGAACTAGGTCTTGAAGATGAATCAGAAAAACCCAGCAATGCATTACTAGGACGAGCATGGTCTCCAGGTTGGAGCAATGCTGACAAGGCTTTAACCGAGTTTGTGGAGCAGCACCTACTTCACTACTCCAAGAATAGGCTAAAGGTTGGTGGAGACTCCACCTCACTCTTGTCCCCATATCTTCATTTTGGAGAATTGAGTGTGAGGAAAGTTTTTCAATTAGCACGTATGAAGCAGATATTATGGGCAAATGAAGGCAAAAGTATTGGTGAAGAGAGTGTAGCTCTTTTCCTCAGGGCCATTGGACTTAGAGAATACTCACGTTATCTTTGTTTCAATTTTCCATTCACCCATGAGAGAGCAATCCTTGGGAACTTGAAGTTTTTTCCTTGGAATGCTGATCCTGATAACTTTAAGACTTGGAGACAAGGTAGAACTGGCTATCCTTTAGTTGATGCAGGGATGAGAGAACTTTGGGCAACAGGATGGATACACAACAGAATAAGAGTAATAGTCTCTAGTTTTGCTGTGAAAATGTTGCTTCTACCCTGGAAATGGGGAATGAAATATTTCTGGGACACACTTTTGGATGCAGACCTTGAAAGTGATATCTTGGGGTGGCAGTATATCTCAGGATGCCTACCAGATGGTCACGAGCTTGAGCGCTTGGACGATCCTGAGGTTTGTCATGATTTCCTTCTTTGAAAGGTTTTACAGTTTGCTTGGTATCAATCAGATGTGATTATCTTATATTCAATAATTTAATTTCTATGATTTTAAGTTTATGTGATCAACATATCCTGCATAACATATCATAATCTGCTATAGCATTTGATTTTACCATGGAAAATCTTCTCTTGTTTTCTGCACTCTCATCCTCATGTGCCATTTTTCAAGATCTGAGGAGTTTAATTACACTCTACCTAATAATAACATCGCATAAAATTGGAAGAAATTGATTTTGTGCTCTGAAGCAAAGACATCCTTGATCTAAGTAAAGTTAACCCTCCTGCTAGTAGAAAAATTAGAGATTTTCTTTTCATATTTTCTTCAATACATTTTATATCTGGTGAAATTTATCTGTTCATATTTCTTTTGCAAATACTACTCCAACACTCAATGCATATCTTGCTTCCGTTTAACATAGATAATTTGAAGTTCTGATTCATGTATTACTATGGGGCATGCCAATTTGTATTTTGAGTAAGAACCATAATAGTTGAAAGATAATTGTTGCTAATACCTTTTTTTTTCCCCTTATAAAGAAAACAAATTGTTGGGTACATTACATTTAAGGAGTAAATTCTACCCCTTCATAGCCTAGAAAAACCTTCTAATAAATAAGAGCAAGTACTCTCTTCTCTAATCTGGTCTCATTTTTGGGTGCAGATTCAAGGGGCTAAATTTGATCCAGAAGGTGAATATGTAAGGCAATGGCTACCTGAGTTGGCAAGAATGCCAACTGAATGGATCCATCATCCTTGGGATGCACCGCTTAGTGTGCTTAGAGCATCAGGAGTTGAGCTTGGTCAAAATTATCCAAAGCCAATAATTGACATAGATTTGGCCAGAGAAAAACTGACTCAAGCTATATTCAAAATGTGGGAAACTGAGGCAGCTGCAAAAGCTGCTGGCTCTGAACCAAGGAACGAAGTTGTTGTTGATAACTCCAACAATGTTGAAAATCTGGACATTCCAAAAGTTGTCTTGAAGGGCAAGACTCCATGTGCTACTATTTCAGCTAATGATCAGAAGGTGCCAGCATTTGAGGATCCCAAGAATGACCCTTCTATTCGGAAGAGATCAAAATGTATGGTAGAGGAAGGTCAGAACCAGGATAATTCACAAAATCATAACAAAGATAATGGGGTGTCAGGCATTATTGATCAAGACATGTGTTCCACAGCTGAATCTTCATCATCTAAGAAGCAGTGTACAAGTACATATTCGTTTTCTGTTCCACAACAGTGTTCCTCATCTTCTAATCTAAAGTGGCCGTGGCAAGAACAGATTGACATGGAACAAAGTTCAAGCAAAGATGGTAAGCATACTTATGTTTTCAAGGAAGAAAAGAAAAGAAATGAAAATACAGTCTTAAAAAAATCTTTAGAACTTTTTTTTTTTGAATAAATGTTTGTGATAATACTCAAGCTGAATGAAGAAAGCTTTAGAACTGGATACAAGTAATAGCATAATTGTTAAGTTTCAGCTACAACTGAATACAACAGTAATGAAAGTCTCTGGAAAGGAAATTACAACTGGATAATTATATGATTTATATTTGTGGTGCACGGTTTGAAATGCATATATAATATTTTATTACGTAGAATTAGACATTTGTTTACTATAATTCTAGATAATAATAATCATGTTCTATAGAATAAGGTGGCAAGAAATTTTTTTTATTAAAATGGCTCAAGTTACATGAATTTTCACAATTTTAATTCAAAAAAACAGTGAGTCATTTTGACTTGACTTGAATAGTAAATTAAGTGAATTGGAATTGAGTTGGCCCGCTGAATAAATCGACTGTAATAATTTAAAATAAAATAAAGGTTAAAAACCTTTTTCACGAACTGAAGCCCATTCAGTTTGCTGCAAATGCAAAACCATGAGTCCATAAAGCGACGTAGCAGCAGCCACGAACTCTGAAGAGTATCACAATGTGTTGGGACTTGGGAGGATGTTAGGCAACAAAAATTTATTAAAAATATATATAAATTAAATAAATGCAGTAGTTATTAATTTTATTTAAATTAAAAAAATTACAAATTATTTTGAAAATTAGTTTTTAAAATTTTAAACTAGATTCAATGACTCTCATTATCCATAAGGAATGATACAAAATTAATATCATGACCGTATTTTTAATTGGGCATAATGCATATATAAGATCACGCGTTTTTTTTCTTTCAAAAAACCATAACAATTTTCTATTAAAATAAGTAACTCCAGTACATCATCAAATTATAATTATTAACATCCATAATGTACTTTCTATTAAAATAAGTAAACTCCATAATTTACCAAAAAAGAAAGTAACTCCATTACATAATCAAATTATAATAAATTCTTCTCGCTTAATCTGCATGACTGGATCTTCTCTAACTTAAAAAATTGTAGAAGCTTGGCAATGGACGATGATTGGCCTTTGACTTTTGGGATATTAGCGTGGAGCATTTGGAGGAGCAGAAACACTTGGGTTTTTGAAGGAAAAATCAATAATGCTTACACAATTGCCCACTCAGCCTTGGGGTATAGCAATTGTGTCAAGCATACAGCTACCACTCTCCATGCAGCAGGTCTTCAACCGAGAAAAAGTGTAGAGAAGATGATAGCTTGGTCTTGTCCTCCGTTAGGATGGGTTAAACTTAATGTTGATGGGGCTAGAGCCAGATCAGGATGTGGTGGTGTTATTCGTGACCCGTCCGGAGCTTGGATTATCGGTTTCTGCAAGAATTTGGGGCCAGGTACTGTTTTGCATGCAGAATTATGGGCTTGTTTGGAAGGTTTGCGTTTAGCTTGGGAAAAAGGATTTAGAAAAGTGTGGCTGGAAGGAGATTCCCTCTCAGCCCAACAGATTATTTCTAATGGGTGTCATCAGAATCACCCTTCGTCGAGCTTGGTGCAACGTATTAGAGGAATGTTGCAAAGATGCTGGCAGGTCCAGATTTCTCATGTCCATCGTGAAGGAAACAAAGTAGCTGATTTCTTAGCTTCACATGCGTATAGCTTTCCATGAGATGTGCAAGTCTTTGATGACCCTCCTCCTGGCTGTCTTCAAAGTTTATACAGCGACACTGTAGGTGTTCGCTGGGCTAGGTTCTGTACTTAGGTCTTTTTTCTGTGTTTTTAATTTCCTTTATCTTTCAAAAAAAAAAAATATAATAATTAAATACGTTTAATAATTTTAAGATAAAAGTACCCCCATCATTCGCCACTAAGCCGGTCATAGTCCATCACACCTTAATTTTCTCAACCTCAAATATCTCAAAGGCACTTAATTAGAATATCTTTTTAAATTAAAATTTTACGGGGTAAAATTTTTTATCTACCTCTTCATTAATGTTGACGAATTATTACTGGATGCTACTTACTTAAAGCATGTAAAAAAAAAAAAAAAGTTATGTTATTTTTTATTTTTTGATTCAAAGTTATGTTAATTTTTTTTTATTTTTTATTTTTGGAAATAAGTTATGTTAATTTTTTATATGAGAAGATCTCTTCTTCAATCACTGAACTGGTTTGTGAGATCTCTAATATTTTGCCATTAAAGCATGAGCAACGTTCGACTTTATCGTTCTCTGGTGGTAAAGTAGCAACTCTTCACATGGCATGCCACTACTAAAAAAAACTCTATTATCGACGGAATTTATGAGACGGAAAATAAATTCCGTCAAAAATTTTGACAGAAAATAAATTCCGTTGAAATTTTATGTCAAAAATTTATCATATAATATTTGTAACTGAAAATTATTGACGGACAAAAAATTCCGTTGATAATTACAACGTAATATTTATTCCGTTGAAAATTTCAACGGAGTTTTTCCGTTGAAATTTGAAACGGCATAATATTCCGTTGAAAATTCAAACGAATTTTTTTTCTGTCAAAACTTTCAACGAAATATTTCCGTCAAAAACAGAAACGGAACTTTGGTCCGTTGAAACTTTCAACGGAATTTTGGTATTTTTCCGTCGAAATCTCAACAGAATCTTTTTCCGTCGAAAATTGCAACGGAATTTTTTTCCGTTGATAATTTTCAAGTAATCACATACATTATGAAAAACCATAAATTTATTTTATGCAAGAATGCTATCATTTATAATTGTTTAAGGTGTTGTGCATATATATTGAAACATTCATCTTTATTCAAATACGCTTCAAACAAAAGAAAAGTACTCGGGCCTTGACATAATTCATCGTATAAATGGCACACACGCCAAAGCCCGATAAGGGAAAAAACCTCCTAAGCGCAGACTTGCTGGAAGCCCTCAATAGTAGAATTAAACAATATAAAAAATAAAGTCAACGAAAATAAGGGCAACATGAGTGATATGCAATTATTAACGTATATGATACTGATCTTAGTAGAATAAAGCAACAACAGACGCAATTGTCCCAGACGTCATCAGCTTAGAAGAATTTATTTAAGTGAGAGATAGAGAAATGAAATTTCCACCATTTAGCAACCCCTAAGTTCTATGACTACAGCGGTGAATTTATATAGTAGGTGGGTGAGCTTGCGTGATTCTTTACTTTGACCATTTTATGTTGGTGCAAAGTGTATTCCTAAATGACTCGTGAGAGATAATGACTTTTTAGTGTCAAAATTTCAACAGCTTTTGCTTTTTTTTCATCAAAAATTGCAACGGAATTTTATCCGTTGAAAATTACAACGGAATAATTTTCCGTTTAAAAATCCAACGGAATTTTGGTCCGTTGATACTTTCAACGAAATTTTGGCCTTTTCACGTCGAAAATTTCAACGAAATTATTTTCCGTTGATAATTTTAACTACATTTTGTTCCTACATTTTGTTCTTCAAGTAATCACAAGCATTATGAAAAATCATAAATTTCTTTTATGCAAGAATGCTATCATTTATAATTTTTTATGGTGTTGTGCATACATATTGAAACATTCACATGAGAATGCAAGTAGTCATGATTATCTACAACTAGAAGTGTTGAAGTAATGGGTGAAGTTATAGGTATACAAATATTTGTTCAAGCATTTTTCTGGAAGTTATAGACCCCTACAATATATGTAAGACTATGGATTTAATGATTTCTTATTTAATGTAAGACTATGGATTGTTTTAAGGAATAATTTAAACTAAATTTATAAAAAATAATGATTATATAGACCATGATTTATAAAATATCATGAATTTATAATTAGCACACAATATTGTTATTGATAAATTTATATATGATAAAATATATCACTTTACTTATAATTAGTTAACATTCTTAGCAAAATACTTATAGAGTATTATTCTTTTACAAATTAGCAATTAATTATCATTTTCGTTATAATTATATAACTTAGTAATCCCAATATTTAATCTATTTTAAAATTTGGTAGTCTTTCGCTCTTTTTGCATTATCTCTTTATACAAATTCTTTCCCTCCTTTCTAATTTTTCACAATCGAAAGATCCTGCTTTTTTTTATATTTTCCCAAATAGTTTCTTATTCCTGAACCAACTCTCTTTCAAATATTTTAAGAAACAATAAACCTTATCAAATCGTCTATTCCCGAAAACTTTCAAACACTCAGCCTTGAATTCCGGTAAGAAATCCCTCTCCACGATCGCCAACACCATCACTGCCACCGCCCCGCAGCCTTCCTCGTCGTCCATTCGACGCTGCTCAACAATTCCACCAAGCAAGGAACCAAATTCCTCAAGGCTGCGTGGCTGGACGCATAAGGCAGGTATTTTGTAATTTTTCATGAGTTTTAAATTTTTTATGAGCTTTTACCATCTTCCGAATTTCTGTTCTGAAATTTAATACCATGACAATTTGATTTTCTTGAAGGCTTCAAAAGCTTTATGGAGGAAATGTGTATGTGGGTCTTCGAATTCCCGATGCTGATTCTGGTTCTCCACAGAGCATTGATATGGTTCTTGTCACTAAAGCGTATTATCACTTCCCCCATCATTTTTTTTTTCTTCTCAGCTTTTGCAAAGTATTTTATATTGTTTTACTTGTTTTACTAGCGGCCATTGTTAGGGAGATTAAGAACAGAAACACATTGGTTCATTGAGACTTGAGGTGAGAGGTTAATTTGTTAATTTAAGACCTTTACATTATTATTGAGATTGTGCTCACAATGTGTTCGATCATTTGCTTCACTGGCCTACGCATGCTGCATTGTAATTTAAACTTGTAAACTTTTTTTCCCGTATCAAAGTTGGTTATTGTATAGGCTATATTGAACCTGCGATGGTGATCTGCATGAACCTGTGATAGTGAGTTATATGTGGAGTGTGCACTGTACATTGATGGAGCACCATTTGGCCTTCCCACAAGAACAAGGTTTTTATATTTTATTAAAATACTTTTTGCAGTTTATGTTACAGAACTTTTAAGACATTTTACTATAAAAATTCTGGTCTATTTTCACCTGGACTTACTGAAGGAATGATTTTATGGGATAGGATTTCTTTTCGTTATTTAGCTCTTCAATTATACTATTACGATTTAGATTTTTTTATGATTTTTTTCATTTCCATGTGCTCCAACCTCCGTTGGTATTGTGTTAAAAATAAAGATTTGAATACAAATCCTGTTATCATGCTTTATTTGTGTCATAGAATCGTATGTTTCATTGATTGAGAGATATGCCTTATATAATTTCCAAAAAAAAGGAGATATGCCTTATATAAAAATGATTACAGTAGTAGATTAAAGATATAAAATAATTTGAATTAGCTAAAAGTTAGGTTATAATTTTAATTAATTTAATATCAACCGTTATGATTTACTAATCAAATCATATTCAAAGCCAATTAATGCCGTTGTTATAGTTTGCTAATCATGATCCTATTGGATGTTAATTAATGTCAACCGTTACAATTAATGTCTAAACAAATCCTATTTCAACAGTTAATATCATGATCCTATTGTATTTAAATTATCTCTTCTTTGTACATCTTTTTTATTTTGTATTTAAATTATCTTGTGGCAAATTCTACAATTAGAGAAAAGGCTACAAGACTAATTTCAAGTCAGATGCACATTAGAAATGGCACTTGGATACAACCTACGTCTCTTGTTAATCACTTGGATACCGAGGCCTTAGAGTGACAACTCACTAGATTAGAATTTAACATGATTGAGGTATCCTAATTTTTCCTATGCGTTATTTGATTAGGTTTACCTTCTTCACACGCATTTCTTAGAATTTTTACCTCTGCTGTTCTGTTTGATGTGGATATTGGATTGGTCTTGAAATAGAGTGAAGTGTGAAATTATTTTACCTATAATTTTTTTTCTATTGCAGATCCTTCATGACAAACAAATAGTGCATATTTTGGTGGCTAGCGCAAGTGTTAAGACATCAGCATTTAGTTAGCATTTTTCTTCTGTTTCATGTATTTTTTTTAGACTTCATTTGAATTTAAGTTATCTTGTTAATACATATTAATTTTACACTTTCAATATTATTATAATAATTTTCAGAGAATATTTAATTGTTAGAAGCATTTTTCATATTTAGGAAAATTTTCTTTTAATTAAAATTTAGAATTTTTTTTCATTTTGATTGTATGTAATTTAGTATATTTTAAATGATTTTTAAAAAATAAAAGTTTTTTTTGCTGCTTATTTTTTTAATTATTAAGCAAAAGCTCAGCGGTGATCTTTAATGACTGCCATATCTTTTGTCCAAAGAAAAAGTTTAATGGATGCTTATTCCGATGATTGAGAAAATCAACTCCAAATCAGGGAGATGAATTTAGTTGCTCCATATTCGTAGGCAATTTACAAAATGACGTCAATATTTATGCTGACAGTTTAAAATGCCATTAATATTTGGTGAATTAAAATCCATATGAATTTAATGTTTTTTAAAAATTTAAAATATTATTTTCGACGGAATTCTACGTACATTCCATTGTAAACGGTTAAGAATTTTCAACGGAGTTATAGATAAATTCCGTTGCAAATTGTTATAGAACTTTTGGGTGGAAATTTTTTTCGTTGAAATTTTCAACGGAATCATACATAAAAACCGTTGGAAACTGAAACGAAACTTTTTGACAGAATTATTTTCCGTTGAAAGTATAGGCGGAATTGTAGATAAATTTCGTTGAAATTTACAACGGAATTTTTTCACGGAGATTTTTTCTGTTGCAATTATCGATGGAATTATAGTTCAATTCCGTCGAAAATTGTGACATAATTTTTCAACGGAAATTAATTTCGTCAAAAATTTCAACAGAATTTTTGTTAATTTCTGTTGCAAATTAAGATAGAATTTTTTGACGGATATATTTTCCGTTGAAATTTTCGACGGAATTTATTATTTTAATATTATTTCATGACTTTATTTATTGAAGGAAAAGTAAGGCTTCCAACGGAAAAAATTCCGTTGAAGTTTTCAACGGAAAAAAATTTCGTTGTAAATTTCAATGGAAAAAAAAATTTCGTTGCCTTTCGACGAAGGGTTATCCAACAGCAGAATTCTGTCGAAAATTCCGTGAAAAAATGATTTTTCAACTGAATTTTAATAATTTCCAACGGAAAAATTCCGTTGAAAATATTAATATTTCTAGTAGTGTGCACCTGACTTTGTATTAATTGTAACATAAAGAACGTGTTTTTTTTTTTTTTTAAATTGAATGAGAAAAACCTTAGGGCCTGTTTTGTGTGATGTATAAGGCTTGATAGTATAAGCTTATACTATATGTTATGACATTTTCAGTTGTTTGGTGTGACCATCGTATAGTATAAGCTTATATAGCAGAACCCCTTAATACATCAAAATGATGTATAACTTAATCAAGCCTAAGAGGATGGGATTAGGCCTAATAAGGGATTGATGTATTAATATTGCTTACAAGCACAATTCTCAAGAACTAATATATCATTTCAATATTAATATATTAAAATAAACTTTTTTAATATATTAATTTTAAAATATTGGAGGATATTATCTTATACAATATCATACCAAACGCGGGATAGTATTATTAAAATTTAATCAGGTCTTATACAATCAGATCTTATACTATCAGACTTTATCTTATACTATGAATCAAACATGCCCTTGGTATTCACGATTCGTTTACGCAAATCAATGGCAAGTGGATAGCCTGATCCGCATATTCCTGGGTGTAAAAATAATTTGAGTCCCAATCAGGGACTTTGACCATATTGCCACCTTTTAGGTAAAAAATTACCGGATTGCCACATCAGGAAAAAATTTTGCCAAAATGCCACGTCACAATCTCGCTGGTCTGACAAGCGGGAATGGTATGGACACGTGTCAGCGTCTGAATGGTCAACCATTCTCGCTGGGCTGACCAGCTAGAATGACAGAATGCTGACACGTGGCAAAAGTACAAGCATTATCTGGATGTCTGTACTTTTGCCACGTGTCAGCATTCTGTCATTCTAGCTGGTCAGCCCAGCGAGAATGGTTGACCATTCAGACGCTGACACGTGTCCATACCATTCTCGCTTGTCAGACCAGCGAGATTGTGACGTGGCATTTTGGCAAAAAAAATTTCTGGCGTGGCAATCCGGTAATTTTTTATTAAAAAGGTGGCAACATGGTCAATGACCCCCTCAATCACCTGTTTGTCTGCAATGTTAATGTTAAAAAAATATAGAAAAATTGATTTGCTTCACTTAACATTTTAAACTTTTAGTAATATGATTGTTTTACATTATAGCATAGCCTTTATAATGACGGGATCACGAGTTGGTGGAATAGTTATTTTATATTATATCAGTCTTATCAGAGCCTTTATGATCACTTATTCCTCACTTTCTTATTTTCTAGTGAAATTTAGCTAGCACACTTGTTGCTTTACAATTAAATTTCTAACATTTGAGGTGATGCGTAATAAACCTCTTTTTGTCATATACTTTTAAACAAAGTCAACTACTGACATTGTCAGTGATCCTTCTTTCTAAGTCAATGTTTAAATGTTGATAGTATGATCGTAGTTTGCTTAAACTAAGGTGATTCTTACGTCAGAAAAACAGAAAGCAAAACCACATTTTATGTGAAACAGGGAAGAAAACCAGAGATTTATTCACACTAAAACTGATACAAGAACCAGTAGGAATAAGAGATAAGTTTCTCTCAAAGAAGTACCAAAAGTAAAGTTAGCACGATACTAAAGCTAAAGCTACCCAACTCTCAACTCAGGTTACAACATAACAGTATAAAATTAACCACTGGTCAATTAACTAGAGTTATCATAAAAATAAAATTTATTAGGGATTGATTGGTTTGATAAAATCAACTTATTATTCCAATTTATTATTTGGGAATTTTATTTTATTCTTTTCGCTGAGAGTTAGTAATGATTTAAAAGAACAAATGTGTTAGTTCACGGGCTTCATAGCCATTAGCTAGCCAGCTTCAACATGGCCAATCTGGATGAGCTATTCCCTCTTAAAAAAATTGCTTTGTACATTTTGATCTTCTTGATTACCCATATCATTTTTCGTTCACTTGTCAAAAATTATCACCGAAAACTTCCACATGTCCTTAGGATTTTTCTACACTTAACCACTTCTTAGCATTTATTTTTAGTCATCAAACCCTAGTCTTAATGGAATGGCCGAATTGTCCATGGGTCCTTTAAGAGTTCAGGTTCATCCTTTTACATGAAATCCACACAAGTATCCCAAGGTTTCATCTTTACACATCAAAACAACCATTTCTTGGTTCATAACACATAAACCCTCAAGAACAACCATCAAAACCCTTTCTTTAAAAATTTTAACAATATTTCCCCCACCCACAAGACAAAAACCGAGAATGGAAGTGAGGATAGGAAGGATTTTGGGTCATCTTTTCCCAAAGTGATGCTTACACCTTCAAGCTCACACCTTTTAGCTCCAAGCTTCACTTTCACCAACAAGAATGCTCCTTTAAACAAGAAATCACCTTCAAAAATATACTCAAGAGTTAGAGCTCAAGAACACAAAAAAGGAAGATGAGATTTTTCAAGAAAAATTTAGAAAACTTACACTAAAACTCAAGAGAACCAAGCACACAAGTGGTGTTCTCCAAGAGAACTCAAGAACACAACTTCATGGCTCCATGAAGCTCCAAAACCGTGGCCAGACTCGGGTATGAAGAACATAAAAATCTTGCTTCACACCATAAAAATTGTATGGTTGTGAAGAGGAGGGTGAAGAGAACAAGTTTGGTGAAGGAAGTTTGATGATTTAGTGAGGTTTAGGAGGAGAGATTCTAGAGAGAAGTGACAGCAAAGTTTGAAACTTGAATTTTAGAGAGAGAGAGAGAGGGGAGTGGGGCGGAAGAATTCTGAATGGAGAGGGAGGGGATGGTGCCCTAATTAGGGATGTCATGTCACTTTAGTGGCACTTTGTCTTCTAGTGAAATTCGGTATAATTTTTATCTGAACTGTTATCAAATTTTTACCGGAAACACCCAAGACTCTAACTTTAAGTAATTAACATTAATTTTGTCTAATTATCATGTTCATAACTTCAAATTTTGATTATTAGATCACAGATCCACTACCAGTTGTTTAATTGCACTGTAGTCTTTACCAGTGTTCTTAACTGTACCCGAATTTCATAATCTTCTTAACTCTAACATTATTGGTCTAATTATGACTTGTTAGGCATATATTGATCTTTATTTTCATTTTCTCATCTTTTTTCCGTTCCGAAATTCTACCGGCTGCTTCTACAGCAGTACAAAATACCCGGCAGAAGTGACTTTTCCAAAATACCATAATATGGATATCAAACTTTATTAAATCATATACTAACCTCATCTATGATAATCATATCATCAAAATAGCTCTCTAACTATAATTTACTAACGTGGAGCTATTCTATTGTCTGTTACTGCGTCAACAGTAAAAAATAACAGATGAAAATTCACCTGTGTAAAATACCCTCAATATGGATATCAAAATTCTTAGAATTTCATCCTCATTCCATTTATGACCTTAAGGTCTTCCTAATAATCCACTAATTTTGAAATTATGAAATTAGGGTTATTATACATGCATATGCAAGTAATAACCTAATAGCTTCCAGCCTAGCTACAGGTGCATATGTTTCATCATAATCAATGCTTTCTTTCTGACTATAACCCTGTGCAACTAATCTAGCTTTATTTCTAACAATAATTCCATTTTCATCCAACTTATTTCTAAACACTCATTTTGTTCCAATTACTTATTGGTGCTTAGGTTTAGGGACTAATTCCACACACAACTTCTTTCAAATTGATTTAATTCATCATGTATAGCATTAATCAAAAATTCATCATGAATATTACTTGGTTCAATTTGAGACACAAAGGCACAATTATTACATAAATTTCTCAAAGAACGTCTAGTAGTTAGGCCTTGTCTAACATCACCTAGTACTTGA